CCAACCCAGCGAAACCAGCAGTGGCAGAATTGAGAGTGGTGTGAGAGGAGCAGGATCCCCCCGACCTGCAGGGTAAGCTTCTGCCACATCCATGTTCACATCCTGTGTGACTTCTGAGTCTATAACCTGACACTTTTGATTTGTCTGTCAGTGTGAAACCCAAAGCTGAGGTGCACATGGCAGTGGCCCCTCCTGTCATGGCTACAGTGGAAGCACTACCTTCTCAGGGAGGAGAGCAGCAGGCTGTGTCCTCTAATGCCCAGCACCTTGCACAAGCCATCTCCACCGTGCTCGCCACACCAGGGCCTGTACCTCCCTCCCAACCCTCCACTGTCCTCTCGGCGCTGCCTGCAGCCATGGCTGTAACTCCCCCCTGCCAGCTCTGCCTGTCCAGATGTGAAAATCAAACAGGAAGCAGAGCCCGTGGACAACTCCCAGCCAGGTGAGGAGTCTGCCACATATCATCAGTGATGTGGTGTGGGACATAATTCTATGCATGAATGAATGTATAGGAATGGAAATATACACACAAGCTAATCATCTGTACATCTGTTCCCCCTCAGACCCCAATGCAAACATGTCATCAGCCCCAGTTCTCACAACCCAGGCATCCACCCTGAACACTCCTGCCACAGGTGATCTAATCCCTGGGGCTTCACCGAGGAAGAAGCCTCGCAAGCAGCAGCATGTTATTTCAACAGAGGAGAGTGAGATGGTGGAGACCAACAGCACAGATGAAGAAAAGGCCCCAGGCAGGCCCATCACTGGCAGGGCTGAGAGGCGGGAATCTCCCCCAAGGGAATATGTTGGTATGTCATGCCGTCCACTGGTTATTGTGATTTTTAATGGGGTGCTATTTGCACTATCAAACATTTATTGTTATTTATTTTTCTCTCTCAGATGAAGAAGGAGTACGTTATGTGCCAGTCAGGCCTCGGCCCCCTGTTACCCTTTTGCGGCACTACCGCAACCCCTGGAAGGCTGCCTACCACCACTTCCAGAGGTACAGCGACATCCGTGTCAAAGGTTAGTAGCTTCTTACAGACAGACAGAATCACCTGTTGTTCATAGTTTGTATGTACAATAAAGGTTTTACTCAGCTAATGAAAATGAATGATCACACGTCTTCTATGAAATTGTTTGTTCCTCTCAGAGGAGAAGAAGGGCACATTGCAGGATATGGCCAGTCAGCGAGGAGTGGCATGCAGAGCACAAGGCTGGAAAATTCATCTGTGTGCTGCACAGCTCAGGCAGCTGGTGAGTGCTGGCCCCAGACCTGCAAAAATATCAGACATTGGTTTTGTTCACCTCTTTGGTTCACTCTGGAGTAGAGAGACATTTCATATTGGTCCAAGTATCATTTATTTGGCTACAGTAAGAATGCAGTAATATAGAGTACAATATAGGGCATTATTCTAGCATGCAATCAGTCAAGCAACCAGAAATAGTTTCACAAGAATTCTTTGTAACAGGAGGCAATAGTGACCTGCAGTTAAAGCAATAGTGTAACTTATTACATTTTGTTAAAACATTTACTGGTTAAAAACCATCACTGACATTTGTAATCATACCAGCTCTATTAGGCCAACATAACGACACTTCTTCCTCATTCACTGCAGACAGAAAATCATTCTTGGGCAGTGTCTTATATTTTTGTGTGCTTGTTACTTGATCTCTAGTCGAGTTTAGAGCATGATGTGTACAGCCGCCTCTCTACCCTTCAAGAAGGCCTGATTCCAAAGAAGCGAGCAGGTGCAGATGATGACCTTCACCGAATCAATGAGCTTATACAGGTAAAGGTGGTACAGGGTTGCAGTATGTTTCTCTGTTCAGACATCTAAAAATAGTGAATATGAATAATGAACAGGTGCAAAAGCTTAGTTTACTGACATCATAAACATTGTTTATTGGCCCCAAACAAGCTAGTCCACCTTTACAACAGATTTCCAGAATCTTAAGGTGGATCTGTAATATTCTCCGGTGACCTTCTATACCAGCAGTTAAAGAGCACCAGCTTGGCTTGATTTTCAGGTGACAACAAAGGAAAATAAGGCTACTAAGTTTAGCTACAGCTTGCAGTGCACAGTTTCTCCTCTGTTGGCTGTCGTCGTACAATAGTTTATTTTGTCACAATCATTTAATGAGGCTGAGGAGGTGTACTGATATGTGGTGAATGTTTTGTGTGTTTGTCCTCAGGGTAACATGCAGCGCTGTAAACTGGTGATGGACCAGGTGACTGAGGCCAGAGACACCATGATGAAAGTGCTTGACCACAAAGAGAAAGTGCTGAAGCTGCTTAACATGAATGGCGCCGTCAAGAAGTCCTCCAAATTGAAGCGTAAAGAACGGGCATAAACTGGACCTTCTCTTCTGTTAAGAACCACCGCCTCCACTTCTTTGATGCGGCTGAAGGAGCTGCTGGGATTCTGGTGCTATGATTTGCTAAATACAATCACACGCACCCTCCCTACCCTCCCTATCTGCCAGACAGTGGACAGAGAGAATTGACAGGAGGCAGAAAAGCAGAAAAGTCCCTGGGAACAGGTTCTCTTTAAAAAGACAGCGCACATATTGAGCGTGGAGCATTGTAGGCATTAGAGTGGCCAACTGGATGGCCCTGTTTTTTTGTTTTTTTGTTGTTGTTGTTGTTTTTTTGAAGACCCCAGAGACCATTTTTACTAAGTTTCTGTCATTTCCTTCAAGACAAAACTGGCAGGTGTAGTAAATCTATTTAAGTGAAAGTATTTCAGTCAAAGTGAATGACCTGAGTTATCACATGGAGTTAAATCAAAATCAAAATACAGTCTAATCTCAGTTGTGCTGTTTCCATGAATCTGTGCCTTCATTTTGCCAGTGTACATGGTCACGTATGTGACAGCAGTTCCACATGCTATCAATATGTTCTTAAAATATCGTTCAAACACAAGGGGCAGGTCAGTTTCACTGCTTCCCTTTGTTTCTCCAAATATCATATGCCTGCAATTTTTCAGTTGATTTATTCAAGTAGTATGGGTATGGATCAACCACACGTTTAGGTGTAATCTAAAAGATAATGGAAAAGTTATGT